GTTTCTGTTTTATTTCTTTCAGAAAATATAAAAAATCCAAAAATATTGTGTGCTAAGTTTTGTTTTAGTTTTGTTTTGTCCTAAAAAGTGAATTCAGGTGTAGATGAGATTCATGGAGACTGTATCGAGATTTCTGAGCCAAAGCGTCATCCGTGATCATCGAAGAATTCTCATTCGAAGGAGCAAGAAATGAAAACTATTCTTTCAACATTTAATCCTTCAACCCCAAAAGCAAGGTGAAGCTGACTTGAAGATTATGTGACAAGTTGCATTGAAGCCTCCTCAATCAATTTGTTGATATCTTGTACCTGCTGAAGTGATCCAGAATATTGTTTCTCTCTGATATTCTCTCTGAAGATTCTCAAGCTGAAAGCGCTATCTTTCAAGAATCTTTTCAAGAAGCCTCCTCACCCAACGTGCGTTCAATGTCAAATTTTGAAGAAAAGCCCAACTGCTCAAGATGAAGTCATTCATTAAAGATACATAAAGCTCATCTTGAAGTTGTGAAGAATTTGAAGATTAATGTTGAAGCCAAGCTCCCAATGAAGATTAAAAAGAAAATCCAGCTACCTTTTTAGGGGGAGTTTGTTGGGTCAGTTAGAAAAGAAAGCTATAAACCAAGGGGGAGATTGTTGGGTCTAAAATTATGGTTTATACTTTGCATTTCTAGGCAATTGTATTTTTTTAGTCTAGGATCGTAAACATCCTTGGTGTTTGCGGTTAGATGTGTTCACGGGTGTGTTTACGGCCCAATGGGTGTTTACGGCCGTGAACTGGTTCACGGTCGTGAACCCATTTACGACCCATGTTCCCTAAGTATATATATAGGTGTTAGGGGTGAGGAGTGGATAATGAGTTTACGGCTAGAGAATGAGAGCATATTATAGAGAGAGAAACTAGAGAGAAGAATAGTGTGTGTGTGTGTGTGTGTGTGAATCTCTTGTAATGATCTTCATTCATATCATGAATACATTAGATTCATCTTATTCTTCTTCTCCTTCTTCTCTATTTTGATCCAACTGATTGAGATTTCGCACGATCAATTGGATCCGATTGATACACAAGAGATTTGAGACTTACACACATACAATCTTACGAAAAATACTTCAACTTTATTTTGAACATATAATCATACAAACGACAGTATGGCGATGGATTCATGCCGCCGTTAAGAGAAATGTCAAACAAATTGAGTTGACATTTTACCCTAAGGAGAGTACAGGGGATATCGAGATACCCAATTGCCTTGTGATTTGCCCTTCGTTGGAGTTATTAAGGTTGAGTTTGGGCCATTGTGGTCTAAGGTTGCCAAATATCTTGGGGTTTCTGGCACTTAGGGTTCTTGATCTGACCAGTGTTGACTTATTGGAAGACGACAATTTGGTAAAAGGTTTTCTCGAAAGCTGCCCCCTGCTTGAGGATCTGACTTTAGATGACTGCGTGCTATGCAAACTTGATCTTCTTTGTATTTCATGTCTGAAGCTCAAGAAGCTTAGCATTGTTAACACGTACGATGATAATGATGATGATGGTGGTCTGTGTGGTGGCGTTAAGATTTGTTGCCCAAAACTGGTGGATTTGGAGTTAACATGTTATATAGCTTATAATTATTTCTTTGAATGTCTAGACTCCTTAAAGAAAGCTGAGATTGAGCCTAAATCAGAAGGGAACAACATATCCGTGTTGTTTCCTGGAATTTCTGGTGTGGAATATTTGCGCATCGACCCTTACTTCTTCATTAAGGTAGATGCTTATTCTCGTTATTGACAAATTTTCATTTAGGTTTTAGGACACTGATGGAAAAATATTTGACAACAATTGTCATTATTGCAGTGCATTTATGCTGCAATTGATCCTGGTCTACCTAATCTGAAGACTTTGGTGCTAAGCACAACTATGGATGCCTTCACCATGGATAACTTCAACCGAGTTCTCAAATATTATCCCAAACTGGAGTCTCTCAAGTTGTCCATTAAACAGTTATTCTCATATCAAATCGTATTCTTTTATTGTATCACATTCTTGAAGCACAGTGTCTCATTGGTGTCTTGCCCATTTTAAATTCCTGTCATACTCATAGGCATATAATAGGATACATAGAATGGATTTGAACATTATCCTACTATATGAAAAAGCAATTGAGCTAATAAATAAATTCTTCAAGAATTAAAGACATTAGTTTAGATTTTTTCTGTTCACATGAAAAAGTAAAACTTCTGGTTTTGTTTGATCTGATCATATGATGTAGGATTTTCATGGGAGTGATGGGACGGAATACGGGTGGTTGGATGAAGATGAAACAAGGGAAATCTTGAGTATTGATTTGAAAAGGATTGAGTTTTTTGAATTTAATGGAGAAAAACCGAAAGTTGTTATAAAATGGTTTGATGATATATTGAATATGTATTTCAGTTGGGGTAAGGAAACCAGGTTCTCTCATTGGTGAATGTGAAAGTAACTATCAAAGTGATTACTTTGTCTCATGTGGATGCTTTTCACATTTGAATTTTTGCTTCATGTTGCTTCTTTTTTAACTATAACTAGAAAGTACTTGTTTGGTTCTATGATTTTGTTCATATTCTGTTATAAAAACTACAACATGAAGTTAGAATTAAAAAAAAACATGTATGTCTTCTCTGGTTACTCTTCTACATTCATGTGTGCATCCTTGCTTTAAAACCTTGCAAGTATATACAAACATCAGTATGCATGATATGACAGATATATGTATGTAGGTAGGATAGGTATGTATGTATGTATGATAGCTATGTGTGTTGACAAAAATTATGCATGTAAAATCGCAGCAGCTGACAAGTATGTATTGTTATGAAACACATCAGCAATCAGAAGTTAATAAAGATATAAAAAGGTGAAAGGTTAACACAATGAAGTCTATAGAAAATCATTCTGGAACTGGGACTCATAGGAGACAGAGATACTTGTTAGCTTCTTATAAACAAAAAATGATCTAACATTATTTGCTTGTGTGAAGAAGCAATAGTAATTAGATGACAAAGTGACAATACTTGAAGACGATGATTGATGAATTCAAGAGTATTCGTTCTCAAAATCGGATTTTAACAGAGGACTAGTCTGTTGGTTTTAGTGAACATATAAGCTTCATTTGAATGGGTTGAAGGTCTAGAGTTGTAATTCTACATCAATTTCTGTAGGGATTTTTTTTACACATTTACGCGACCATGTAAGACCTGACAATAGAAAGGGTTTTGATCCTGATCCGATACAAACCCTTAAGAATTATATGGGTTTGGATCGTAGTTTTTAATTCGTTTACCCGTTAGCGACCCATACCTGCTAACCCTTTTACTAAAAGGGTCGGGTATGGATCATCACTGATCCGCTCCGTTTATAACCCGCCCCGTATAATTTTTTAATTATTTGTTTATATTTCATAATGCTTAAAGTTTAATTTTAATTCCAATCGAAAGTCCAAAGGGAAAAATACCAAAGTCCAAACTTTATATATATAAGAATCAAGGAGTCGACTTCTAGACTTTCAGTCTTCTACTAAGAATTATGATGTCATTTCATTTATATTTCATCAAGTACTCATCATATTTCATTCATAAATCAATAAATTCATTCATCAACTAAAAGAAAATTTGTCATTGCTATTCTCTATCACTACAATTGACAGTCAATATAGATCAGAAGTTACTACAATAGTGATTTTTAATTCCAATAGGAAGTCCTCGAGTACGTAATGTGTTTTCTAAATCAACATTTTTTTTATTTAAGAAATATTATTTTATGAATTAAGTAAAATGTGGTTGATAATTCAAAGGACTTATAGCTTACGGGGCGGGTTGGGATATCTGTTGATTCAGTGGATAAGGGTATGGATTTGATTAATCAAAACCCTGCGGGTTACGGATCGGGTTTGGATCGGATTTTGAAATTTCTTAAAAGGGTTTGGATCAAGGTCGATTCGCTCCAAACCCGCC